ATCGACTTCCACCAGACATGGTCCCGCAGGTAGGTCAGCGTTTTCTGTGTGCCCAAGTGAGCTAACAGAGAGTGCGCCTGGGATATTATTATTTCCTGAACACTTCTCCCACCCATCTTTAGGTCTGGGACACAGAGTAGTGTTCTGTCCTTTAGTGTTATTCGTACCAGGCCGTTGGTTTCCTCAAAGTTCCAGTAATGACTCGGTGAGTCCAATATGTCTTTGAAGAATGGGTCTTCGTGGTAATGATGCCTCATTCCTTTGATAAGCTCATCCTCTTCCAGGTACCAGGCCGTGTTCGCAGGTAAGTCCTGTGTAGTCAGGATGGGTAGTTCTGATGTGCTTCCGCAAGGATCCTCCCCCTCCTTTCGTTTGCGTGGGCCACACAGGACGAAATGCCCTGCCACTCGCTTGGCAAACTCGCCCACTGCCTCAGGCCAACCAGTTTCGGCTGGGGGCAATCCCTCCCGGGCCCGACGATGTTCAGCCACCTGTGGCACCTCCTTCTGCAGGTCCCCCAGGGCAGGCTTTGGCAAGCAAGCCTCAGCCACTGGCCGAGCCAGCCATCGTGGAGGAGTTGCGGGTTGGGTGACTAGTGTGGGCAAGGGTTCCCTTGCCCGCCTAGGTTGCCTCGCATTCAGAGGACCCTTAGTGCCCAGACGCGCGCTATGCCTCACCAGCAACTCAGGTGACGCAGCCTCTGCCTCCGAGCCCACCAGGACTGGCATTGATATGATGGACCAGAGTCCTGGCCGAGATAGGTCCGTCACAGCATCATCATGCACCATGAACTCGCTGTCAGTGCGGACCGTGCCTGGTGCATCATAGGAGTACATCCACAATAGTGCATCAGGCAGGATATTCTCCTCTCCTGGGAGGTACCAGATCTCGAAGTTGAATTCGCCCAGCTTTTTGAACCAATGGGCCTGGCGCCCGGACACCTCTTTTTGATTCAGTAAGTGTACCAGGCCCTTATGATCTGTAAGCCACACAAACTTTGTACCCTGCAGGATGTCCCAGTGCCGCAGCATGCCTTCCACACCTGCCAGCATCTCTTGCTCATGCACCGCGTAATTCTGCTGAGCCGAGCTCAACTTTGCACTGAAGAGCGCAGTGACCTTCGCAGTGCGCCAGTCGTTTCCCTGTGCCACTACCGCGGACACCCCTTTGGCACTGGCGTCTGTCATCAGCCAAATGGTAGGTGAGTTCAGTCCATATTCCAGAGGCACCCAGTGATGGTCCTTGCAGTTTTCAACATAACACTTGATTTCGTCAAATGCACGTTGGTGTGTGAATTCCCAACAGAACGGTACAGTGTCGCCTGTGACTTCTGACAGGATCCCCATAGGTGTCCGTACTTTGTGGATATCATCTGCCAGGAAGCCCATGGCGCCTAGAAAACTTCGCAGAGCATCCCAGTTGACGGGGGGCTTCCAGTTCAAGATTCTGTCAACTTTGTCGGGGTCCATACGGATCCCCTCGTTGTCGACCACCCGGCCCAGAACCTTCAGTTCACTACACAGGAACTGCAGTTTACCCTCGCTAAGGTAGAGCTTCTCCTGTTCTAAGATTCCCAAAACCGTTTTAACATGCTCAACGTGTTCTGCCAAGGAGTCGGAATATATTATCAGATTGTCCAGGTAAACGTCCAGCCAGTTGCCTATGTGTTCGCTGAACAGATAGTTCATGAGGGCTTGGTAGGTGGCCGGTGCGTTACAGTCCCCTTGCTGTAGCACTTCACTGACCATATTTCCATCAGGGGTGGTCACTGCGGACTGAGACACATGCTTGGGCACTATGCAAATCTGCTCATATGTGTCCTGCCCGTCGATTATCGAATGGTACCACTTCTGGGCCACGCGTCTCAGGATCCCATCAATATCTGGAAGAGGTGAGGACAGTTTCTTCATATTGGCATTCCGTTCACACAAATTGATCACAGTTCTCAATTTCTCAGTGCCTGGTTTCTTAATAAAGAGCATAGGCACTGTGTTACCTGTGCTGGTCATTCACCAGCGGCCTGAGGCAAGGTATGCCTTTCGTTTTTCACCCCATTGGGGTCTAAGGGGCTCAGGGCATCTTGATGGTTGCCACTTGTATACCTTTTTAGGGTCAATCAACGGGATCGTGTGGTTTATTGCCCTCAGCAGGGGCAAGCCAGTCTCACTGGCTTTAGTGCACAAGGGCTGAGCAAGACGGCGCAGGTCCTGGCGAGTGTGCTCCAGGTTCTCCTTGTATGCCTCAGCCATACGAGACTCCAGCACCAACACCTGCTCACCTCTGATAGACTGCACCTTGTCGCAGCCGATCACAATCCTTGCTGGGTTCAATCCCACGAGCACTTGGTGTTGGAACAGGAACGGTGTTCCCAGCACCAGGTCATAGTTTTGTAAGTTGATTATATCAAAGAACCGCGTCTCACTGACTTTTTGGTAGGCAAAGCTAACACTGGTACCATAGTTTACCTTGGACTGGGAGCCCTGCACAGCGAGCTGTATGGTAAGTGGCTTTTCCAGCGCGACCTTCTTTACTTGAAGCTGGTCAGCCAGGGATGTAGACATGAAGTCTGCCAGGGACCCAGTGTCTACCAGAGCTCGAGCTGGTTGTCCGTTGATGTGGACAACAATCACCACTGGCTTTGGGATCATTCATTTGAAGTCCCGGGTGGTGACTGAGTTTTGTTGGATGGCCAGGTAAGCCCCCTGCGCTACCTGTTGACCATTGAGCTCAACCAGTCTGAACTGATCCTTGGTTTCAGCGAAATGAATGTCTGGCATTGCAAACAACTGGTGAGCTACTTCCTCCAGTGTGCAATCTAGTGCACTCAATGGCAAGCCATTATCCAGTAGTCGGAATTGGTAGTACTCAGCCTCCAGTTCCTTTTCCCGCAACAGGGCATCCAGCTTCCGGTAGGCTTTCATCAGCCTCTTCTCATACCATTTGGTGACGTTTAGCTTGGGATTGCTCAAGTAGGTTTCATTCACCCATAGCCTCAGGTTAAGATCCCTGTCATGGATCTCAAAAGTCACCTCGTCCTTAAAGGACGCCCGTTCGCATGTGAACCTTCTGGGTGAGTGAATTCCCAGGAAGTTTGGTTCACCATTCAAGATATCCCGGATTTTATCAGACATTGGATCGCCCATGGGTTCCTTTACATGCATCAAGCGCACGATGGACTTGCGCAGATCAAAATGTTTAGCCAGACGGGTGGTATACCAGTCTGTCAGGCAAAACTTCGGATTGGCCAGTAGGTGTGAATGTACCAGTAAGTCCTCTTCCAACCTCCTAGCGCCATCCATAATGACATGATGAGTCTCTGATGTTCGATAGACCACAAACTGCTGTCCCATGAAGGTGTTCTCATTCGACAGGTCGTCCCCTGGGTACGGTGCCCGCGATGCCAACAGGTGTTGGGCATGCTCAGCCCATGGGTCCCCCAAGAGGACATTCAATATGGTCAGAGCTCTTCGATCTTCAGGGGTTGAAGCCTCATAACAAAGGCTCATGCTCCCTACCGTGACTTCGGGTATCACCTCAGTGCTCTCAGCCAGGGTCCGTAGTCGCTTGATCTCCTCAAAGTTAATGTGTATCGCGTAGCTGGGTACCCCAGGTGGCCTTTCGCGAGTGTTGGATGGTACGGTCCTCCTCTTCAGGCATTGGCGGGACATGTGTCCTGTCTCTTTGCATACAAAGCAACGGCCTTCGAACATCAGTTTGTCGTGCTCCTCCTTACTGAGTTTATTCTCCCTAGGATGCTCTTCCCGTCGAGGTTTGTAGCCTGATCGGTCATTTCTTCCGTTATGTCTTTGGGACCTCTGTTGGTTTCCATTTGGATGGTTACCGTGGCGCTCCTTCATAGAGCCTGAATGGTTATTCTGGTTAGTTGCGCCCTCAGACCCCTTCAAGGGTCTATCAGGTTTTTCCTTTCCAGATTTCTTGCCATTCCCTTTGGGTCCGTCATCGTGACTCTGGGATCCTGCTGCTGAGTTGGTGAGCTCAATTATCTCGGCTGTTTTCTGGACTCTGGTCAAGGACGACACCTCCGGATTCAGTCTCATTTTATAGAGCTCGTTTTGAATGCTCGGGTTCAGTCCGAACCAAAACTTCACGACTTTGTCCCTCTCGGGTACATTCCCTATCATCATCCACAACTCATTGAGCTCTGATAGGTAATCTCGCACCCTTTTCTCCCCCTGGTAGCATCTATAGAGTTTCTTTCGTTGCTTGGTGCTATAGTCCAGTGGGAAGCAGTAGTTGAATAGTTCAGTGAAGAATTCATCTAATCTCCATTGACTTGGGTTATCTGATACTTGTCTCAAGTAGAAATTGTGTGCCTTTCCCTTGAGGAATCGGGATAATGTGAATACTCGTCGCTCGCGTGACACGTTCCCGTCTTCAAGGTATGCTGTTCCTTCGGTTATGAACTGATGGAACGCCCTGGAGTCCTCCACACCATCATACTCGGTGGGAGGAATGGGTTTCAAGGTGCTCCTCTTTCTGGGCGCCTTCCTCTTTTTGCTGTTCTTACGTTTTGTAGAGTGTTTCTTCCGCCTTTTGGCGGTTGAATCAGAAGACTTAGACGAGTCGCTAGACTCGCTTGACTTAGAGCTGTCCATAGTCTCACTAGACAACGAGCTCAAATCCTCAGCTGATTCTGACTCTAGAGAACTCAACGACATAGAACCCGGCAAGTCTTCACTCAGCGAGTCTTTCTCATTTCATCCTTTCTGTTTTCTAATGTTTCTCCCTTTAGGCTTAATCTGTGTAAAAGCGTGCCCCAAGTAGCTTTTGGGGGCTATCTGAGCAGCTGCCTCCATCGCTGGTGGGGTTGTTCTTTCCCCACGTCTGGACGGCCTGCTCACTGTCTTATCCAGCATCTCCTTCACAGGATTGGAGCCCTCCGGCTCCTTCCTTGCTGTCATTGCTTTATCCCCCCTAGGGGGCTTGACCTTCACCTTTTTAGTCGGTGGGTCCTTTCTTTTATCCAGCTCCTGCTTCAATCACTGGATTTCGCCTTCGAACAGTTTCATCATCTGGCTCTTGGTAGCTTTCACTGCTGCCGTTATTGGGTCGACCAGATTCTCCCCATCCTCGGGCTCTGGGGCCCTCTTTGACCATTCGTGGGTCTGAGCCCAGTTCGAGAGCGCTTCCCTTTGCGCTTCCAGGTTGATTTTGGACTCATCTAGGTTGGCATTCCCCCAATTACGTGGGTCAACTTCCTTCCCTTTGGGGTTGGAAGGTCCCTCCTCTCAAGACGACATTGTTTGACCTCGAGAGTCGGCATTCATCTCAGTGTTCCTTCTTTCAAGGATTCGCTGTTTCTCTTCTGTAGTAAGGAGTTTCTCTGCCTCCCTTACTAAATCAGCCTTAGGTGGCTGAAGGTTCTCAAGCACCTTCTTGGCTGCCCGTTTGGATTTCCTGTGGTTGCGCTCAACCGTCATCCAAGGTGCGTCCACCTCGGACTCGTCTGACTCACTCGAGCTGACAAAGGGGTTTTCTAATATCTTAGGTACAGATGATGCAGAATTCGGGGCTACCAATGTTTTATAGCTAGTGATGTGCATGGCCCGGCTTTGAGCCGTGGGCCAGCCAAAGCCAGCCCCCATTGAGCCGGGCCTAGCCAGGCCAAAGTCACGGCCTGTGTAAGGCTTTGGTCTGGCCCACCATTTTGCAAAGCCCGAGCCGCCAGCCCAGGCCGTGGCTTTTAGGGGTGGTCGGCAAGGGTCGGCACCGCCCCAGACACGTTGTGTTGTCATTGCCGTGTCTATTTTTGTCTTTGGCTTCTGCGTTATCCCCACATGTCAGAATCGTGTTCTTGCACTTTGAGGACTCAATGTTCTTCACTCCGGTGTTGAGATGGGCCTATTAAAGTATTTCTGCATCCTTCAGATGAGTAAGTCGCCATGTTTCTTTTGATCATGCACTTTGTAGCATCGACATTACTCACTCCAGTGTCAGAACAGGTCCTTCGATGCACTATGTCGTTGTCCGGAGGCTTGATGGTCTGTCAAACTTATATTGTTTGCTGATCTGTTATTGTATGTGCATCTCTCCCTACTTCCTACCGCCTACTGCCAGTGCCCTCACATGATCAACCCAGACTCAGCCTCCATCAATGGCAATGAGCGTCATCGTCCCGTACGACAGACAAAACCAACAGCCGCACTTCTCCAGCACTCAGAGAAGGCGGCCCTCACATCACAGACAAAAGCTATCAACGAGTTTCGTGCCGCAGAGGCTGCGAAGTCTACTACCGAGAATCAACAGACTGCCACCCCAGGTCCATTGCTAGAGCCTGCAACAACCCAGCCCACCGCATCTACATCTAATGGCAAATGCCCCCACATTGAACTAATTTTGGATGATGTTCTATCCGATGAGCGTGAAAATGCGCGCACAAATCTGAAATGTAAGTTTATTTTACCCTCAATGATTTGATTTGACTTACATTTAACCGTTAGCAAAAAAAACTCGCAAACTCGCTGTGAGAACAGACACAGAGCCAGTGGGTGAGGATGGCATCCTCATTGACATTGACGTCCAGTCGATCGTGGACGCAGGGTCAACACATGAGCTCAGAACTGCTGATGTTGAAGCATTTTTTGGTGCTACATTTGATCATGCTGGGTCTAACGGCAAAGTCAAGAAGCACCGCAAGTGCAAGGTTTGCCGGTAAGTCTGCTCATCCTTTGCCGTACTCACCTACTGATCAGCTGATAGAAAACAATGCATACTCATCAATGAAACAACTACTCTTTGTCGACACGCTGAGGCCAACTTTGCAGTGAGTTACCGGTTGTGCTCTACCCATCTTTGTATTGACGTGTTACATAGGGCAAATATTGTACGTGGGCAAAGCAAAACTCCTTCGAGTCCATGTTGCCTGGTGACGTCAAGGGTCGCAAGGAAAAGGCCGAAGATGACCAACGTGTCATTACCTCCCATCTGACTGAACGAAAGGTTGCCGAACGAATTGTCCCATACTCAGATGGTTTGTTCAAGCAGGCTGCTATTGAATGGCTTGTCGCCACTGACCAGGTATATCTCCCACCCTCTTGCAGTAACATTATCATTTGACTCGTGTTATCTAGCCTATTCAAGCATTCGAGCATCCAAAATTCAAGGAAATGATTGACGTTGCTGCCTGAGCAACCCATGGTGTCAAGATCCCAGGCAGGAAGGCGACTCGAGCTGAGATTATGAGGATATTTAAGAATAATCTTACGAGGCTCAAGGAGAAGCTCAATAGTGATGCCATTAGCGGCATGATAAACACAACCTGCAATGCCTGGCAGGCTGGTAATGTTGATGCTTACTTCGCTGTGACAGGTCATTGGATTGAAGCGAAGACAGCTACACAATGGGAGTGCGAAAGTGCACTACTTGGCTTCACACAAGTCAACAATTCACACAACGGCAAGCGGCTTGGTGGGACTCTTTTCAAGATTCTGGACCGTCTTTGTATTGTACATAAGGTATGCTATTGTGACTAAACGATTCGTAGTTTGATAGGATTTTTTTTATAGCTCGGCCACATTACTTGCGACAATGCCGCTAACAATGGTACAATGCTTGAAGAGTTCGCTCAACTGTATGAAGTCCGATATAAAAAGGAATTTCCGTGGCAGGCTCGCAGGATCAAGTAAGTCTGATATTATTTCGTGTCAGGTGTACCCTCACGTTACGACTGTAGCTGCCTAGCGCATGTTATCAATCTCAGTACACAACTCCTCATTAGCACATATAGCAAGGCTCCCCACTACAATCCGCATGACTCTCGTGCTTTGGATCCTGAAATGTCAATTCAAGGTGACCGTGACGAGATTGGACTTATTCACTCGATCTGTGTAAAGGAACACTCATCGGCCAAACGAAAAGAGCTTTATAAGACTATTCAAGCTAAGGCTGGCATCTCGAACCCCACACAGCTCCTTCTCGATATGAAGGTTCGCTGGTCTTCAACATATGTAATGATCAATTGTGCGGAAGGCAGTAAGGAGGTGAGTCTAATATTCATGAGGTATTTGCTGAATTTGATCCTGGGCCCCAGCACGTCGATGTTTTTGTGTACGAGATAGGCACACAAGAACGTAATCTGGAAAAATGTGCCAAAATTGATTACCTCCGGTTGACCTCGACTGAATGGACCCGCGTCGGTCAGTTTGCTGATCTACTCTCAGTATGTTCTGTTTCACATCCACACGAGTCTACCGCTAATTTGTTGCTTCAGTATGCAGATGTAGCTCAACAGGCTTTCTCATCAGACAAGGGGACTACACTTCATCTGGCTATTCCTGCCCTCAAGACACTTCATCGAGCCTGGTCGTCTCGAGCAGACCGACCAAAGTATGCCCGTTTTTCAACTGCACTCCATGCTGCTGCGCAAAAGATTGACCAGTACTATGAAAAGACAACTGACTCACCAACATACATCATGGCTACGTGTACATCTCATCCTGTTCATTCTGTTCTGTGTGCGACTGATGTTTCCGTACAGTACTTGATCCGATGGGCAAGATGGCATATTTTAAGAAACACTGGCCTGAAGACCTGCAAGACGAGGTCCTTGCCTGTGTGGAACTAGAGGCACGTTCAATTACATTGCAATTCATTTTGTATTATTGATCCAGGACTTAGTTTAAAACTCGCTATCTTGCAATGGGAAGATCAGCGATACCGGTGCAAGCATCTATCAAGAAAGGCAAAGTTAATGGCCTCAAAAAACTAATTCATGAGACCCAGAGTGAGGACGAAGACGATGACCTCGGTTTTGGTGCATCAGCAGCCGATGTTGATCCTTCCAGACCCTGGTATGCCGATTTCAAACACTACATCAACACTGTCGAGGCAAAACTGCCATCTGGAATGAGTACAGTCACATGGTGGGGTGTATGTATATAATATTATATTCCAGCTCATTCCCCATTACTGATGCTTACTTTTTGATAGATGAATGCTCACAGATACGGACCAGTGTGGTCCTCCATCGCTCAGGATTACTTGTCCATCATGGCATCATCCGTTTCGAGCGAACGTGCCTTCTCACAGGGGGGTATTACCATCAGCAAGTGTCGTAATTGCCTCAAATGTGACATTGTTGAGGCACTGCAATGTGTCAAGTGTGCCATTCGTCACGACCTTCTCTTCCGCCTGCCTGGTCCATCATCGTCCACTGAGGAAGCTGACGAGTTTGATATTGAACTGGATGGTAATGAAAACCTGGCAAGTGAGGGTGATGACGAAGAAGATGGTTGGGATGTCTTGCTACTGGAGGAGGACGAGGATGACATATATATTGATTGATTTTTGTTTTATTTACCATTATTCATTCATGTCATTAACCTGCTCATTTTTCCTACTCGGGCCATGGCTCCGGCCAGGCCAGGCCAGGGCCAAGCCATGGTTGAGGGCTTTGGCCCGGCCTATGATTTCTGAAAGCCCTGGCCGTCTGCAGCCAGGCCAAAGCCGGGGCTTTCGAGCCAAGCCGGGCCGGAACAACACTATTTATAGCTACTGGGGGTATCTTTGGTGCTCAAAGCACCAGCAGACACCACCTCAGCACCAGGCTGAGGTGTGTCTGCTCTCGTCCTCACCACGTCACTGAATGAGCGGACGGGTTTCCGGATGGGTACCTCGACATGAGAGTCCTTAGACTTCTCCACCGTCGAGGTATTGTGATTATCCGGGACTGAAGTTAGGGATGACTCACTCCAGGTATCGGGTATGTTTTCAACGCTAGCAGTGAGAGCGGAGCACTGAGAACGCAGGGGGTAATGTGAGGGCATGTTTATTGTTTGTTGAGTTGGTACGTTTCGGTGGGCCTAACCGGGTTGGTGCCAGAGTTGACAGTGGGATGGATTTTTATAGGGTAAAGATTAAGTTTTCGTAGACTTTGGTTTGTCAAAAAAGATGTGACATTGACTATTTAGCGATGAGGCTCGAAGACAACGGCACAATAGAGAAGAGTGCATTCAAACAGAAAGACAGGTTCAAAGTATGAATTCTGGGGGTTCAAACTACACTACCCTAACTCTACGACTGGGGATAGTATTTAAGGTAATGATATGCCCGATACCGGACAAACACGGAGACAAGGGGTATAGGTACGGGATCGGGTAACAGAGTACTCGGCCAAAGGAGACAAGGAGTGACTGAGGGAACATAGAGTAAATGAGCGTAGTTAGGAGAATGACAATGACAAGATAAAAGAGAAACACGGCAGATATTAGACGGGGCACGGCAGATATTAGACGGGGGCTGTTGGACAGTGCCACCGTTACACCATCCAGGTTTGGCATACCGATAACGCCGAGCTTCTTCTCAAGTTCAACGCTTACCAAAGTCGCATTAGAAGTCTTGTGTGGTCGCCTGACGGTCAGCAACTTGTCTCTGCATCATTTGACAGCACAGTCAAGTTCTGGAACTCATTGAATGGACACCGGGTCGGTCAACCTTGCACCGGTCACACTGCATACATCTACTCGCTCGCCATCTCGTCTGATGGCTCCTTCATTGCCACTGCCTCGGATGACATGACTGTGCGGCTGTGGAGCACAAAGACACACCGGCACATAGGTCAGCCATTCAAACACACCTCGAGCATTAGGTCTGTCGCGATTTCTCCCAATGGAGAAATGCTCGTCAGTGGAGATTACACAGGAAAGGTGCTGCTCTGGTCTATCAAGCAGATACTTGAGCAACACAAGGCGGGACAAAGAACAAAGGTTGATGAAGGAGTACGTCGACACCAACTCATTGGTGTCAGTGACACGCAGGTATGCTATCACCCATTATTTTTAGTCTGTTTGTTCATTCATATTGCTTTCGGCGGCGGCACACAGCTGCGCTGTCATGACACCGACGACGAGCTCTGGGGCAATAACGACGGTGCAAGTCACCATTCTTCGCAACAAGCATCTGGTAGTGACAACAACCCTTCATTATTTGACGTGAGCTGCCTTCAATCTGTATCCTTATCACGGAACATGAGCTTGCTTCATGCAGATCCCTGTTATAAACACGACGCTACCCGAAGAGCTGTCCCAAGAGACTGACGCAGATGACAACTACGACTCACATGCCAACGAGGAAGACGATGTAGACGAATCGATTGAAGATGACGAGGAAGTACAGCGACTCCTTCCTCGTAGTGACACGCACGTATGCTCTTTTCCATTTTTGTTCCGCTTTTCTATTTATATACACGACAAACAGCTGCTGGTGCACAGTCACGAGAACGAACACGAGCCCACCGGCGATCACGACAGTCCAAGCAATCATCCCTCAGATACTGACCAAGCCTCTGGCAGTGACGACAATCTCTCGTTGTTTGACGTGAGCTTTTGCCTTTGATGCATCTACTTACCACGCAATGCGAGCTTTTTTCATGCAGATCCTTGCTATAAACAAGACAGTCCGCAAAGCATGCATCAGCGATCTGCACATTGCTGAAGACCTGCTGACCAAAGAGATCGACGCAGATGGCAACAACCACCACGCGTATGTCATGCGCTCGATTGTAAGGGCGCGAAACTCCGAGTGGGACCAGGCACTTCAAGATTCAGCCAAGGTCAGACGCTCTGCCTATCATAACACATTTGACTTTAATCTTACTTGGCGACATAGTCCATCGCTGTCCAGCCCTCGTTATGGGGCTACATTTCCAAGGGCATCGCGCTCTGCGGCAACGACCAGATCTACAACGCGATGGAAGCTTTCGACCTCGCTTTCGTATTTCTGAATCGAGTTTCGATGACAATTGATCTCTTACTATTGATCAAGGTACTCATCGCTATGTTTGTAGTCAGTCTGTCGTACTCAGACTTTGGTGTCATTTTGTCCAGGCTGTTGCACTCTTCAATGCCAGTCGCCACGATGAGGCAATGCGGCGAGTTCAAGACCTCGCCACCGCTTGTCATCACTTGGATACACTTCCGTGCGGCGTTGTCAACGTGAGCTTTGCGTCATACTTCATGAGTTTTCTCGCTTTCAAACACACTCTCCAGTCATATCTACGCCTGCAGCTTGCAATGATGCTTTTGAGGACGGGCGGTACAACGAAGTCGCCGATCGGCTCAGTATACCCGACTTATTCTCTAGCAAAGTCCTTGTTGAACCTAGATGGAAGATATTCACAGTGGTGAGTCATATGAAGCTGCAGAATATACTTCCACTGATTCAAGCTATGTTGGACAGCTCTTCGGCTGGGACTTGGACTCGTTTGTGGCAAACAATCGACCAAAGGCGGTGTGATGCTCTCCTCCGCGTTGATCGAGTGATCGAAGCGGTTTGAATCTCACCAATACACGATGAGCATGATTGACGAGGATGTGAAAAAGAGCTATCTCGTATGGTCCACTGGTGGGTACTTTGGGGTCATATACGACTTCAATATCGACACTTACTCTAAGGCCGTTTAGCCTTCAAGAAAAACTGTACTGCGCGCTGTCTCGCAAAGGGAGATGAGGCTGTTGCTGCAAGCAATTACGAGGCGGCTATCGAACTGTATTCGGCAGGAATCGGGCTTGACTCCTCGTGCGAGTCCCTGTTTGCGCACCGCAGCAAGGCAAATTTGGAACGAAACCTCTATGTGCAGGCCCTTTTCGACGCGGAGAAGGTGCAGATATGATGTCCATCATTGGTATAGAATTTATACTGACACCGACAATGCATAGCTCATCGAACTCAATACTTCTTCTTGCCTGGGATACCAACTAAAGCATGCAGCGCTTCACGGCGCACGGCGCTACGATGAAGCAATCAAGGCCTTCAAATGATGCTCTCGAAGTCAGATGATACACACGACGCGCAGATCCAAAGTAAGCCCGAATCCCTCATCCATCACCGAGAACATCATGAACGCCTTCTCCAGAGCTGTTGTCAGCAGAATGTCAATCCGTCTGACATCAAAAGCACTATTCGACGAGCCATTGACGCTAAACTTGAAAATGCCCCGCTTCGTCTACTCAATACGTCCACTGGGCGTATATGCACTCGAGAGGCACAGATCAGAGCCTTCACAGAAAGCACAGAGTACAAGGAGCTTGTATTTTCATCCATAATGTATGCGCCCATCCAAGCGGAGCATATCCAAGCAGTCGTCGCGAAGTACTTCGGTTGGGCCATGTTATCGCATAGGTGGCAAGGCAATGAGCTGCTGCTGCATGACATCCAGGACAAGATCGTGTATGATTTGGATGCAGTCGGAACCACAGTGAAGTTGCAGATGTTCTGCCAAACTGCTCGCGATGCGGGCTACCGCTGGGCGTGGAGCGATACATGCTGCATCGACCAGAACAACCAGTTTTGAGCTCCAACGATCCGTCAATGCCATGTTTATCTGGTATCGCAACTCGGCTCTTACAATTGTCTACCTGCCGGATGTTCTGCCTTCAGCACAGTCAGGCTCACTCGCAAAGAGCGCTTGGAACACGCGAGGGTGGACTGTTCAGGAGTTCCTCGCTCCGAATGTCATTCTCTTCTACCGAAAAGACTGGACTCCATATCTCAATGACCACTCTCCTAATCACAAAAAATCTATTGCTATCATGAAGGAATTGGAGGATTCCACAGGCATAGGTGTACAGGCTCTCATCGCCTTCCGTCCGGGGATGAGAGACGCTCGAGAGAAACTTCAATGGGCGTCGAAACGTGCCACGACTGTACCGGAAGACATTGCATATTCACTGTTTGGCATATTCGGCATCCACCTCCCTGTCATCTACGGCGAGACGAGGCAGAATGCACTCGGCCGGCTCTTGCAAGAGATCATAGCCCAGTCGGGCGATATCACTGCCCTGGACTGGGTCGGAACATCGTCCCCGTTCAATAGCTGTTTGCCAGCCGAGATTGTCTCGTACCATTCTCCGTCATGCATGACGCCACCTATATCTGACGATCAGACACAGATGCCAATCTCGTCGCTGCAAAATGCCACTGTCGTGGAACAGGCACTGACGCTGTATACCCGGCTTGACCACCTCAGCGCTCCTCGTTTCGCGCACCGCAGACTACAAACTGCCTTGCATTGTATTTCCTATCACAGAAGTCAGGCGAAGTCGTGGTCAAGACCAGGAGACATGTTTCACTTATTATGTCAAAGCAAACGGGCTTAAAGACCTGGTGATCACCACGGAAGCCAGACTGGGTCAATTCTTGCAGGGAAGGCCCAGCCAGCAGACATTCATGCTCGTCCGTTCCGTGGAATCTTCATGACCTCGGGCTGCCCGACTTTGCGGACGATAGGACCATGAAAACTTTGTCTATCCCCTGGTCTACGTCAGATCATTCGCTGTATGGCTCTCCTGAAGCATATGCGCCAGCTGATTTGGAGGTCGCACGCGCGAGCGTCAAGGTTGATCGCTCGCCTCGGACAGCGTTTTGGCGCACTTTGCTAGCGCAGCAGCGTGTCGGGGAGTACAAGAGGATTGCTTCGGATCACAATATCATCGCGCAAGTCAAGGACGTGACTTCTGTGTCGTGACATGATGGACGTCAGGACGCTAGAGATATTGTAGACTCATTCTTGTCGAAGGACGGAGATCCCCTGACGCGTTTTCATTCATACCTTCACAGTACCTGTGTGAAACAATATCCCTTTGTAACATAGTCCGCGATCTGTATCTAGACATGCTTGAGTAGCATTGATCCGATGTGCACGAAGGTCAATTGAATTTTACATGTAGATGTCACTCGTCAATACACTGTTAGTCTACAACGCCGAAATGAGTATCCCGCTGTCCCGCTGGACTTTCTCTCACAATCCTTCTCTTTCACCGGTTGTAAAATCCTAAAATGCATATCATTGTGAAGGCTTTAACAAGCTGTGTGATATTGCATACCTTCATGACAACGGCGGCTTCTTGGACTACGGTTACGCAAGATTCCGCCGCACTCGATGAGAATCCCTGTTTGGCTGATGACATTATTTGGCTTTGACGCTCCTCCGAACAAGATCGACGACGACCTCCGACGCGTATCTGCCCGGAATTGTCAATGATGTACACTGCAGGAATTAGTATAGGTCACTTTTTGAGCTCACTCAGCAAAGCATACATCTTATTCAAAAGGATATCTAAGCACTTTTGAAGGCGAAGGTTGATATTCCCGCAGTGCGACCCATTGTACCTCAGGCAGGGACAGTAACATGGTGCCATAGTGCAGATCGGCTGCTGAACGAGATTGTCTCGTCGATCGTTGCGTGTTGAATCATGATGGCCTTGATATGTGGATACTCACTATGTACGTGCTAGAATTGAACCACAACGCGCTAGCAGGTCACTGCTGAGGTGGTTTGGCATAATGGATGCCCTATGTCCAGAAACCCTGCGGGAATGAATTCGAAGAGATTCGAAGCCAATCAAAAGTCAATTGAATTATAGAGATCGTCACAGGTTCGAGTCAACGTGCTCCAATGCCCGGGCTTGTACGGTGTATAGTAGATGCCAATATTAATATGTTCAATATTCAAGTCGTTTGGTCGCGAAGAACACGTGACAAGTAATTGCGGGGACTCCCGAAATGGATACAGTCATCCACTGGCCGATGGAAATTCGCAACCATGGACGAATAGTTTTAATGGCTGAGCATTGCTGTAGCGATCTGATCTCCGGATGTTGTGCACAATAGCTCTCTCCTTGCCTGACCGTGAATTAAAAGTGCGCTCTCAAACACAATACTGGGTTAAAAATCGGTACAAGTACATCGGGAAGAACACGTCTTGAAATGAACCGCATGCACTAAGCGCCCTCCTTCTCATGAAGCTCTCCGTCCAACTCATCCTCGCTGTCGTCAGGTTCCGAGTTTCTCTTCCCCCACAAGAACCCATAAAGTCGCGAATAGAATGGCGACGGGAGGATAGAAACAAGCAGATACGCGAAAAGCAGGGCAAAAGTCACTACGGTCAAAACCTGAGCCAAATCCGAAGAGGATAGGAAGCCCGTCACAGATATAGCTAGTCAGGATGCACTGATTAGGAACCAAAACGAGCGGAGGGCAAGAACAAAACATACCGAAGAGGAGTAGCAGTAGAGATATAGCGAATGTATAGATAGGAATCGAGAGAATCATGATATGACATAGGAAAAGCCATCTATTTCGCTTCAAGGTCTGTTTGGGGTCAGTATGTACGAGCTGGCAGGGGCTTTACGCCTGCTCACTTGAAGGTTTTCTGCTGTTGATAACTCTGCCCCACGACGGAGATATAAAGCTGGAACAACAGACCAAACAACGAGAACACCAATGATTCTGATAGAAGTGTATACGGTCCGCCAGCATCGTAGTTTACTATTTGTTGCAGAGGCGCCCCAGTGGAGATGAAGACTGCGACAGTCGTAAGGAGCAATCCTTGCTATCCACAACGATAAGGAAAGGTCAGAGCACTACACATCACCGGACATACCACAGTGCTCAGCTGATTGAGCTGAACGAGGTATTTAATATGGAAGCTTTCCCAACCCTTAGGTTCTTGGAAGATCTCCCACATGAAATCCAAATTTGAATGAAGCGTTAAGCAAAAGCACATCACGTGGAAGATCAAACGCGGGACAAATGATTTAGGAGGTTTCCATCGAGTGGGGAGGGACTTAGTTGGCTTAGTCGGCTTCTTATGGGATCTGTGTTGTGACGGGGTCTCCTCGTTAGCGTCTTGAGCTGGGGATTTCTTGAGGGTGTCGTATGAGACGCTCGCAGACATGGCGAGGGTTAGGAATCAAGAAGGTTAGAAATGAGGAGAATAGATGGATGGATAGTGAGGGTTTCAAGCGTCTGGCGCTCTTGCATGTTGCAGATTATATCATGTTTGAGTGGCGCACAGCAATGTCAGTATCGAGTCACGCTAACAGCAAATTGCCCTTTCTGAGGCAAGTCAAACACCGGTATGTATCTCATGGACGTGGAATGATGACCGCTGGGCGCCCATGCCACTATACGACAGATATATCGATCCATACCAACTTTGGTGAAAAAGGGTTGTGACTTGTGAGGATGACAAGTCAGACAACCCGTCCTACTGATGGTGGCGGTCGAGTATGGGCAAGTTATCTCGGATGGGTTCGTTTTTGACTGACATACATAGTCAAGAGATCGCAGATAAGTAATGGTAATGAAAGGTCCCCAGGGGAATTTACGTACGACTCAACACATGCCCAACCTTCTTCAAGGAGTCAGGCGCTGGATTGACCTTGGTCGTTCTATAATTTTTTTCCAGTCTAGGGTCAGTCCAATCAACTTCGAGCACTTAGAGTCCTGGGCCCGAATAGCACGCAAGATACAGCTGCGCGCTACGCCTGGATCCGTATCCTGTGACGAGATCTGTATAATGACCTCCTGTGGGTGTTGCTGAAATAGTTTTATGTCAAAACGCGCGTTTAAAGAACGCGGCGGCCTGCAGCAAACGATCAGACTCAGCTCCGCAGCAGTCCGTTCGGGGGAAACTATTCGACTAAAAACACCAGGTCGACTTGGATGGGATGGTCGCATAAATCACCAGGACGTGGCAGTGGCATTGATAGCCCCCATAACGCAGTTGCTAGCTCCGAGTCCGACTGTTCCATCGTACGATGTTGTTTGCTAGTACTACTAATATGAGACGTTGATGTATAAGATGTAGAGCTCTGGGAACGTCAGTGAGTGGAAGCACACCCAGCTCAGATAGACGACTGCATCTGACGCTGTGCCGTAATCATGAAGCGGGCTGTGTGAAGTCAGCGTGACGCCTCAAATTCTATAAACGTGAGGACTTAAGGGCAGAAACCTCGTGCGTTGTAGGAGACTGGTTCTAAAGGAGTCCACTGTATGAGAACAAGGTATGCATTGGGGGAATCCCGCGTACTATGTACTGGATGCGACGGGCCCAGTGGGCTAGGAAATCACAAACAGAGATCTGTTTGAAATGAACAAGATGCCGGTTCGGAGCCTGCCGGAGAATCAGCATCACGCGTCCAACTGAGCGAAACGCCTTTGACTTCACCTTTGTATGATCGTGTAGTCTAAGGGAAGAAAGAGAGAGGAGGTTTGAGTGAGACAACGCGACTGTTTAGTTTACAGCTATTTTCATATCGATAGACCAGAATCTGGAAAACTCATTTAGCCGCTTTTATTTGTTGTTGGAGGGACACCAAACAGAGGCGCGCACACTACTTTTATGAATCTTTAACGTAACTTGGGGCTTGTGTGGCAATGGGGGCAGTGACGAGACCCTGGAATACGTACCGCACGCACTGACCTGCGACCAGCCGCACATGGTGCACCGTGGTTATTACCAACTGCAGGTGACCTTGTCAAGCAAATAAAGCCCTCGCCGTGAAAGACACCGTAATGTTGTCAAAGGTAAGTTTGCTCATCATCAAATGGGCTCCACTTAGTTTCTGCAAGCCCTGGCATTCTAGCGAGATTGTCGTCTCTTCGTCTCCGTCGAAAACAATGGTTTTTGGATCATCTGACAATGTTGATCCATTACACAAATATATTTTACATACATGCTTGTGAGTCAATCCATGCCTATGTAGTGTTCGTTCGATGGTGGCAAGAGACACCTCAATTCCCGTAGAGCACTTTGTAGTTCAGATAGAAATATGTCAGGAGTGCGCTCGACACATGAAATAAGGTACTGTCACAGTTAGGTATTAAATTCAAAATACTTTTGTGCCTTCCCTTACTGCAACGTCTGTGCTGTAAGTAGACGAGGA